CATACCGGCACATTACTTTTTACTAAAGAAAAAAGGTTTTCAATAATTCCTGCGTTTTTTATTCACTGTGCCACCGTAACCTTACGGGTGATCTTATTTTGCAGCTTGTACAGTATCAAAATACATTTTCTGATTTCCGTAAATCGTTCTTCCAAGCGTGGAATTCAGACGAGTTAAACGAATACAGCAAGTGGCTGTACAAAACGGAGACTTTTTAGGACTTATCCTTGAAAAACTTAAATAACAACTTTTTAGAGCAGAGCTGCATTTTCTGCACTCGTTCCTGTCACAGTACGATTTACGCTTCTTTTGAGACCAGTCGCTTAAAAACCTTGCCTCATTTTTTCTCTGCAAGCTTTTCTCTTCCTATATCCATTAAATTTAAACTTTTTTAACCACTGAAAATTCACAAATTTTTTCTTTAGAAGAAATATGAAGAGTTTGATTACCGCATACCAAGGGGAAGCTTAAAGCTAAAAAAATATTCCCTCTTAACACCCTCTACAGATCGTTAGTTATTCGAGTTAACATGTTTGGTGAAGAAACAGAGAGGTATAAGTTCAGATAGCAACCAGTATGATGATTATTTATCGAAAGACCTGCTTAGATCATTCAGTACCGAACAACCTTTAATCATATACTTGTTATTGAACTGGTGAGAATAAAACAGCTTTGAAACACAGACATTTCAGCTTAGCCCAGAATAGCATCTCCTTCAGATGTGCCAAAATGCTATGTCGACTGAAGATTTCCCGCAGCTTAGCCTTACTGGACGTGTATTAACTTGTAACATCGTGGAAATACTAATTTACAGTAGAGTATAGCATAGCATGGTATTATAGTATAGTATAGCATAGTGCAGTACAGTATCGTTTAGTACAGTATAGTACAATGTAGTACAGTACGATGCAGTATAATATAATATTTTACAACATAATATAATATAATATAATATAATATAATATAATATAATATAATACAATAATGTATTATATATATATATATATATATATATATATATATATATAATGCATGTGTACAGTGGGAAATCTTCATCCAGAAATTGGTAATCCAAATTATCTAGCTATTAGGTCATTAACTGCCTCATTTTCAGGGATACCGACGATGACGCTGACCTTCTTAGCAACTTGACAGATATAGTACGCAGCAACTTTAATACAGAAGGTTTTAAAGCATTGTACGCGATAGTTATAACGTGGCAGTGTAAGATGAATGGCTCAACAAATTCGGACGAAAAAAATCAGTTTCAGGTTGCTGTCTGTTCGTTTTAAAATAGCATGTTTCTGCTGTTGCGCTCTGTCGGATTTTGCGCACAAGTGACTATAATTCACATAGTTATGTAGAGCGTTGAAACAAAAATAAGGATGGGAAGGAACCCCAGTAGTAAACTTGCTCGACCAGTGTTCAAAAAATTAATTAGGCATATCTTAATATCTAGTAAAGTCGCATTCGAAGTTGCTGTAAACTTGCTATAATATCTCAGCCGTTATGCAGAATTTTTTGAAATGAACAACAGCAGATTCTGTACCGTAGATTGTTTCTTACTGAATATAGCCTTAGATTCCCACTTCTGTCGCTTATTGAAATATAACGATCGATTTCCCCTTCGTTCTTTTTGTTCAAAGAAATCTAATTTTCTCAAGCCCAGTTATTGGAATCACATGAGTTAACACGCGAGTAGTTATGTGTCCAAAATTTTGACTTCTTGCAGTCGTAGGTTTTTGTGGATTTAGAGACTAAAGAATCGCATGAAGCATTCTTCGCTTATTCTATGTTAGGAAATCTTAAGGAGAACGAAAATCACAAGTGGAAAGATGGTAGGTCCTGTTACAGCGCAGCTTTTAGAAAGAAAGACTGAAGAACCACTAGACTATATCAGTGTTTTGGTCGTTAATTCCACCCTTAAAGCTTAGTGGAAACCACATATAGCAGTACCATTCGCTTCACCCAAGCAATTCTGAATTAATCTTTTCTGAGATGTTTAAATACATTTTCTAATTCTGCACAGCAGTCTCTTACCCTCTCAATTTTGTTGACATAAAAGAAGTCATCCCTGATAATCATTGTTAGTCCTCCAAAACGGTTATCGTTGCTACTGTTGTCAACAATTGAGTTTTAGCGCCTGATTTAGCAGCTGGCTTCGCCTGCTGTCGCGCTGCTGTTACACCTTCATTTCCCATTCATTCTTTATCACAGGTAAACTCTACTTCAAAAATGAGTTGCATCTGAAGCAATGAAAAATGTCTTTGCAATGCTACGAATTTAATGGCTTTTAAGGTGTGGTAGATTCAAAAAGAAATTACTGTTCTAGCTCTTCCACAGTTCTGCGTACTTAAACATTAACTGAAGACCAATTGCTGTACACAAAATTATAGTTCTTCAGCACTCTTTACGTGTTATTATTTTTTGGTTTTCTTTAACAAACTTTGAAATTTTTTTGATTTTAAAGGCAATCTGCTTGACCTGCTTCGAAAAATGCTCACTTTTTAAAATACTTTTATTTGTAAGAATAGATGCGAAACTTATTTAATCATGAAACGCTACTCCAATCGCCTATTAATTTGATCAATGCAACACAAATTTTTTCAATTCAAAACTGACTAAGTAACAGAACATTTTTTATTTATAGTTGGTTCTGATCACTGATGAGATGTCGTCGTATGGGCTAACAATCTATGACCGAATTGACCTTCCTGGATCTGATGGCGCAAATGCTATTGTTGGTTATTTCGGTTCTGATGGTCGACGTGTGGAATCACCTTCATCAGGCACAGACACCGTAACCGAATTGCCAAGGTTTTACATTACAGATTCGATTTGTGTCAATTTTTATATAAAAACTGATCTCAGAAATTTTGAAATTGGTTTACTGCTACTGCTATTTGAAAGGAGATCTTCAATTCTGCTAACAGAATGGAAGTATCAGTTTTTCAGATTAACCAATATAAAAGAAGTTGGAAAGTTTTTGCACCGTATCTCAGGCGTCTCTTTTGAAGAACCAAAAGAATCTCTCGATGATTCTGAAGAAAATGATGAATTAGATGAAGAGCCGGTTGGAGGTGCGGTAATTTTTCCTTTTTTTGAAATGTAAAAAAGATGATGTTGTTACAGTGGGAAGAAGCATGTTTAGTTTATTAGTTGCGGAATAGATTTTGAAAGCTATATCTCTTTTTAAAGTCGACCACACTATTGGCACCATTGCTACTACAGCCTCTTTGAGGATTCGTTCTGACTTTTGGTCATCTAAATGACCGAGAAATACCAATCTTGTCCTAGCACGTTATTTGTGTTTTTATTTCAGGTTTGAAAAGACCATGAGTTGCTTGTTTTCAAAAAAACTTCAGTAGGTATTCGGTAAACAAAACAGTTGTAGTTCTGGATCAAAGCGGTTTCAGAATGACATCTTTGTAGGAATAAATCAGTTATTTTCAAAAAACTGCGTTGTTAACCGGTCAACTTTTTTATCCACTTTGACTTTCAGCAATTGTGTTGGAATATTTCTGAATCACATTGCTCTAATCTAATCATCGTGGAATCTGAAATGGCATTATGCAGAACTACTAGTGCCAAAAGATCAGAAATGCATTCATTTGTCATTTTTTGCTTGTGCTCGCAGTAAGCATTTACCCCTGCTTGTCGATGTCGATCACATCGCCTGGCAGTAACAAAGTGTGATTGTCATTCTAATCACTAATTTTTTGCCTGATCTGTTTTGATAGTTGCTGAGTCGCTTGTGCATGTGCTAATTTTTGTTTAGGTAGTTGATTTAGAATGGAATACCATTAAATGTATGCATAAAAAGTAAACTTTTCATGGTATAACAATTAGGAAATCACATCGACTTGCTTCACTGCTTCGTCTGTGTTCCTTCTTAAGATGGTATGGCTTTCGGTAATAATAGTCGCAGCAGTGTAATGTACACGTTCTTCACATCCGTTTGAGAGCTTTTATAGAATCAGATGAAAGTGAAGGTTGTCCAGAGGATCCGTATCAAGATCACTGTCCTGAAGAGTGCGAAGTGCTAACGGACGAACGAGATTGTTCATTGTGTATATGCTCTAGTTAGTTTACCTAAAGCTTCAAGTTTTATTTTGCTTTCGTTGCTAGTAATTTTCTTTTTTTTACTTTAGTGCTAATTGGGCTGTCTTGTTTTTTAGAATATCCTTTGTTATAAAGTGTTTTATTAATGTCGTGAATAATAATAATAATTACTTAGTTTAAATGATAAAAAGAACCACTTCTAGAAACTTGAGCGAGAATAGGAAGTGTGGAAGAAAAATTACCTGAGTTTTTTGGTGGTGTTAAAAACAAGTTGAAGATTTATGTATAAAGAGTCTTTTATTTGGTAGTGTGCGGTAAAAGAAAGCTTTTTAAATACAATTGAGCATTTTATCAGATATTTAATAAAGGAAAAATTCTTCTGTCGGCGTAAGTGGTGCGTTTGGTAATGAATCTTTTTCAATGTTAACTTAGACTGAGATATATGTAAATGATAGATAAGAAGTATATTTTTACATGTTTTAGTGCCCGAGGTTCCGGTAACAGATGAAACACCAATTGAAGAGCAAACACCCTCGGATGGTAATTGTTGAACTTTTTTTATTTTGTTTGAATTGACTTTCAAAAGTATCAATATAAATGTCTAAATTAAAGGCAAATGTACGCATGATAATTAGCTGTTTTTTCATTATGGAGTAACCTTAAATAATGAGAATATAGGCAGTATAGGCAGACTAAACCTATTTTAAGACAATACTTCAATTGCAAATTTCTAATTCTGTTGTGTTGCATAATTATTTTTTAAATATAACTTTTTGTTACTGATTTCAGTTTGAATTAATGCGTAAAAATTGGCTCTAAGACACACTTAAATATTTTAAATGTTGGGATGTCAAAAGGGTTTTGAAAGTTTCTTGAAATAAGCAATTTCTTTCTGTATATTTAAACAATTATTATGAAAAATTATGAAATGCTTATGTGGACTTTCTAGGAATACCTAAACAACTCGGTACTGTTGAAGGCGATGATCAAGAATCGGATGATGAGTTAAGTCATCCGATTGAAAATCATCCTCCTCAACTGGAAAAGTCAACTGAGCAGAACGAATTGACTGATATTGAACAAATTTATACCGATTTAGAGGAACCGCAAGTACCAGGATATCCGGAACCAACACAATCAACAGAGTATCCCGAGCAACCTGAACCGATACCAGAAGCAGCTGCTGAAAAAACGGAGCCTGAAGACTTTTCTGCGTATGAAAGAACTCAGGTTCCGCCATATGGAAGGAAGAGCGAAGCCGAGAAAGAACAAGGTTTTTCACGTCCAGGTGGTCATCCTTATCCTCCATACCAGCCTCCAACCTCTGGTCATCTTCCATCGTCTTCTCTACCCGGAGCACCTCCTATAGGTGGTTGAACTATTTATAACCGTATAACATACTGGGCCAGTCTTAACAGAAGTCTTTTTTTATTATTTCACTAAAAAGCTGGGTAAATGTTAGAGTTCCAAACAATTAATTTAAACTGTGGTAGCTTTAGGTTAAAAAATGTCCAACTTTTTTCTTTCAAAGTAATTTGGGAGAGAGAAGTACGGAAACAAGAGGCATTAAGGAGAAAGGCTTTTTATTTATCTTCTATAAAGATTACAGTACACTTAGTTTTTAAGTCTTTAAGGTTCAAGGGCGTCTTAAATTTTTTAACCATACTTTCATGAAAACTGTGCTACTACATCCTTTTTTTTTGCATTTCATTTCTTAATTACTTTAATTTAAGGAGAGGGTGCAAAAGTGGAAGAACGGCCAGTGTATCATATGGGTATTCCATTAAACTGCGCAGCTGCTAGTGAGAAGGTAAGTATCTTAAGATTCGGATCTCAGAGTGTTTTTTCGTGTTTTTTTTTCTTTTTTTTGTAACATTTCTTCAGTGCACTGTTTTTTACCGGGTGCAGTAACATATGTTGACAATTAATCATAAGTAGATGAGAACTTTACAGTTTAGTAAGTTTCTTCTAAAAACATAATTTGACTGTACAGTTTACAGGGGGCCGCTTGCGACGCTAATGGTTACTGTACCGATTATCACCCTGGCTACTGTTGCTCATGCAAGAAAGGTTACTATGGCAACGGAGAATACTGCCTAAAAAAAGGTAAATTTTTTGATGTAAAGTTATTTTTTATCAGTTTGAAATGCAAGGTTGGAAGATGTGACAGCTCTTAATAAGGAACGACTTACGAAGAAGCGTCTGAGTGACTGCATATTTTGAACAGTGAAGTAATGCTTTTTTGTACTTGACTTAGGAGAAAACGAACGCATTTACGGTACCTTAGAAGGACAGATTAATGGTGTTGACCTGAAGGGAAAGCAGCTGCACACATTCGCCGATACTGAGAAGGGTCGAGCTTATTTTGCTTTAACAAAAATACCTTCATATGTTGGACAGCCATTGTTACTTGTCGATGAGATTGGGACCGTAATTGGCTGGCTATTCGCAAAAGTTCGTTTTGAATTAATTTTTATTGCTGTTAAAAATATTTGGTAGGAGGCAGTTAACGAATTTGTAGTAGTTTTTCGTTATAATCTCATGTGCGAAAAAGTATAGGTTGAAGATTGGAAGTCTTTCAGTTTTTAAAGTTATTGAATAGATTTCTCCGTTAGGCTAATACATTGGACAATGCCAAAATATGTCTATATTGGCCTGGTTTCACTGCAAACAAGTTGTTTTCTGTCGCTTGAAGCCCTGCGGAATGTTTTTACTTATTTTAATTATTATATCAGCGAAATTTTTTGAACAAAGTTTTAGTTGATGCAGAATGAAGTTGGTTTAACAGGTATTTTGTAGTTTGCTGATGTTTTTCAATCGATTTAATTACTGCTCACTGACTTTACCCTGTGTTATCTGAGCGGTTTACCAGCATTATGTTCCTTCCCGGGAGGAAACTTAAACTCGCTTTTATGATCACTCTAGTTTTTTCTGCTTTTCTTACTGAAAGAATCACAATGAATACAGCTATGAAAATGCAATCAAGATGAGGTAAATTCACTAAACACTTATTTTACCATCTTGTTCTTCATGTAAGTTTGGTAGTAATTTCTTTCAGTTACGTATTTTAATTTGCCATCTTTTTTTTGGAGAAGTCTGACCTCTCCTTGCAATTATTGCTGATAGTATTTGCCTAGCCTATAACTATCTCAAATGGAATAACTTTGTCAAAGTGAAAACTTCTTTATTTGATCGTGGTCTGTTCTTCCTCTCTTCTTCTCTTTAACAATGATTCTAGAAGCGCAATTCTATCTATCATACTTTAGATAGACCCTTGAAATGCTTAATTTGTATCTGATTTGTCTTGAGTCCTGCTTTCAGTAGTGAAAGATGCTTTTGTTTCAAAAAGACAATTCGTCAATTATAGTTTTCTTCCTTGGCTTTTTTTTCTAAGAAAAAGTCAAAACTTTGATTGGCTGATTAGAGTCTTAAGACTGTAGTCGACTTACAGGTACCGCACTATTGGCTACTACAGATTACACATTCTTCCACACTTTTTTTCTGTATCTGTGGGATTATAACTGGGAAGTAAGGATTCCAAATAATGCGCTAATGCTTTCAATGCCTGATAACATAGTTCTTTGTTTTTTTGTAAGCATTTATCTACTCTTGGGGTCATAATTCAAAAACTTTTGTAATTTTTTTAGCCTGCTATATTTCATTCTTTTTTTTGAGAAATATGGCTTAAGAAAAAAAATTTTTTAAACTTTTTCTTGACAGCAAAAAAATTTCAGCTTGATTCACCAGGAGCATACAACGGCTTCCAACTTACCGGTTAGTTTTTTCATTTATCAGTATTTTATATAGCCACTGATGTCAAACGCACTGCAAAAACTTTTTATAGCATTCTGCTTTAGACATATTTGATACGTTTGTATCAAAGTTGCTATTTTGAAAAATATGAAATTATGTTACAGGTGGAGTTTTCAATCGAACTATTAATGTTCATATCGGTCACAGGCATGCATTGGTGGTGAAACAATTGTTTACTGGCCGTGACAGTCAAGGCCGCTTTCAAGCGCAGGTTTCTTGAAAATTGTTTTGTAATTGTCAGATTTTGAAAGCAACCGTAGAAGACTTCTTTTGAATCTAATAGTTATTACAACGGTGGAGATTGTGTTTCCTTTTCTAATTCAAGGGCAAAGGAGAATAACTGGAGAGAAGTGCTTTCTTCTTTTTAAGGTAAGCTTGCAGAGTATGAAGAGAGGAGGGGGAAGAAAAGCGCAAAAAATGTATGAAGTTAGCGACTTTTGAATTTTACCCAGTAAACCTCACTGTCATTTTTTAGTTAGTAACCCGCCATCTATATCTATCTGTAACTAATCATTTATCAAATTGTAGACGACTGAATGCGCCAAGCATACCTTTTGAAAATTTGAAAATATAAATTAGTTCAGTTTCGGGCTATTTTCACTTTTTCGCGATTTTTTAATAAAGACAAATGACAGGTACATTCATCTCTAAAATTTCAAAAATGCACTTTCAAATAAGATCAGAAGCATATTGTCAAGTAAAAAAGATATTAATACATGCTCTAGAAGTCGATCATGTTTGAGCAGAAATCGCGGATTTTAGCCATTCAGAAGAGCAAGCCGACTTCATTCTAGCAGGGTTAGAGGAGTAAATGGTTTTAAAAGAGAGTTGGCATCAGTCATTAACCAAAGTTTGAGAAAGTTTTAGGTTCCAATTGGAACAGTGCGTATTTTCGAAGGAAATGAGTTTCTGACAAAATCCAGGGGTGGTGCGCGGTAAAAATGCTTTAGCAAGACAGTCTTGATGTGGAAATAAGTAAACATAAATAAGGTTGCTCTGTTTTCAACTCCTCCGCCGTTCACATTCTTTGAAAGCAGAATGGCCGTTTTCCGTTTTCTTATCCCGCATTTCCTCTTTGTGAAGTTTTTCACTTATTCTCCGGAGTTTTTTCTTTTCTTTAGGTCTTTGCCAGTATTGGGAAAGGGAGAGTATAACAAAAGGGAAAAAACTTTTGTTGAAGTGTTTTTTAATGATTGAAAGACAAACGTTCTTTTATAACTTGACCGGGAACTGCTTCAGATGTATGTTACCGGTACAATTCCTCATGTTGATGAACGTGCTCACATTGTGTACCCTCCGCGTGACGTCGAATACAGGCGGGAAGGCCCCGGTTGGTAATTTATTACAAGTTCTGTACCTTTTTTGGAAAATTTCGATGCTTTATCAACCACAGATATGTTAAGGCTTTATTCGCTCATACTCTTATTATTCCATTATTGTAACCGAACAGGGAATTGAGCGTCCCATCCCTGTTACTGTTGATCAACAAATTTACTACAAGGAGTGTTCTTTCAAACAAGTAAGACTTTAAGCTTGTTTGGTTTAAGAAGGCGAAGAAAACTGGCTTTTTTTTAAACATTTACAGAAATGTTTTGAAGAACAAGAAAGTAAAATATTACCAAACAGCGAATCTGAATGAAGTGGGAAGTTATTTTTTCAGTGGTATAACTGATATTCAAAGTTATGTAACAACATAATAAAGTTTTTAGTTCGACAAAGAACCAGTTGTGGTCATCAAAGTGAACCGGGCTCAAGCAGTTTATGATACTGATGAAGAAAGCGTTAGATATGCTGCTGAGAATAAAGCTACCAATGGCTTTATGGATTCCAGACGTCCCGGTGATCGTTATCGAAACAGATTTCCTCCTTATTACCCACATTCATCATATACTCCTCCTACCCGTACACGTCACCCATCCCATTCGCCCTCGTCGTTCACAAGAGCTCCGGCTAAACCTGGGACGCCAGCATACCCGCAGCGGGCTCAACAGTTTCATGAACAGCCTCGCCCGGTTAATTTATTTACCCTCCACGGCATATTCACTCTGGCTTTACTTATTGATTTTCTCTTTTTTGTAAATACTTTAATACTACTACACGTTCGGTTCAAAAGACTTTTGAGAGGAGTATCGTTCGTATGGATTGTAGTTTTTCAAAATATTTTTGAGAAACAATCTAACCATGATTGTGCAGCGCATAAAACAAATAAATCTTTAGACTGGTGGCGATCCTTGCGCTCCCGGAAGGCACCAGTGCACATATCCGCATATGCAGTGCATCGAAAAAGATGGCAAAGGATCTTGTATATGCGAAACAGGGTATAGTCCCGTTATAAATGCGTCTTTCACTTCATTGGGTTGGTACTGTAAGGGTCAGTTTCGTCTTCAACATTTTATAACGTTCATAATTCACTTTAGAAAAAACTGTTGTTTATCCATAGTTCAAAAACTCGAGGTAGAATCTTATATATCGTGCAAAAACATGTATATCTGATTGGTAATTAAATTCTTTTTGTTAGCCAAATGTTTTTAAAAGTAAACCTTTGCCAAATTTTTTTTCACCTTTTTGAATAGCACTTATTTCACTTTTGAAGAGTAATATGTTTGGTTTTTCCAAAAGCCATTTTTCAGACATAGATGAGTGTCGTGCCATGTCGCATGCTTGCGATCCCAATGCAGACTGTAACAACACTGAAGGTAGCTATGAGTGCATATGTAAGCCTGGCTATACTGGGAACGGGCGATATTGCCAAAGTAGGCTATTTCAGTGTTTTATTGCTGTATGACACTATGGACAAAAAAAAAGATTATTTTTTTGTTTTTTTTAAAGTTAAAAAAACTTGTTGAGAACCACCGTTATTTGTTCATTTGCTGTTTCTATTTCGAGACAATTAGTTAGAATACACAATAAAATTTGAGTTTGTAAATTTATATGGTTATTAACTAGGGGCAAAATTACATTTATTTTATATACACTTTTCCTTGTTTTATTTTATGATTCATACCTCCAAGCGGGTGCCGAACTGATGCAGACTGTCACAAGTGGGGAGAATGTGTTGCTGGAGAAGATGGGCGAAAAAGATGTAAATGCCGAGGATGGTACGAAGGAGATGGCGTTACTTACTGCAGAATACCAGGTTTCTTCATAGGCACTGAATAGTCCAATGAAAGTTGATCGAGCACGAGTGGATTTTTCGAAAGGTCGGAGGTTTATTGTAAAAAACTTGTTTTAGAATCAACTACTCACGTACCAGGTTCCGTTACTTCTTCCCCAACTTCTCGAAAAGGGCCTCATGAATGCGGTTTTTATCTTTGTCACAAAGACGCAGACTGTGTAGTGTTGCCGTCGCAAACGGTATATTGATTTTAAGCTCCTGACAGGTTGGAATTTTCCTTGTATTATTTCTTTTTCTAGCGTGCGTGTAGATGTCATGAAGGATTCTACGGTAACGGTGTGTCATGCGAACCTCGTGAAAGTTTATCCGGAACTACACCACCAGGTTACTGTATTATGCTTATTGCTAAGAGAATCTTTTCTTTCGAGTTGTTATAGGTGCCATACAGTGATTATAAAAAGCCTAAACTGCAGTTTGTTCCCACTTTTTTTTGCACAACTGACTTGGCATGAAACTGTATGTAGAAGTAGCTGTGAAGGTTGTTGATGAATTAGTTATGACAGCACATTTTTAAAGGAATGCACTGCACAAGGCATCAGGCGTGTGTAAAGCATGCTAACTGTGTTCGTCATAATGACGGACGCCATCGATGTGTTTGCATACCACCTGCATACCCTGAAAATGGACTCTGCATTTTAAAAACAGAAGCTGGTAGCTATTATCAACCAATTATACACTTATATACGCAAAATAATAAGAAAGTATAGTTTGAACATTGTTTGTAGTTACGCCTGCACCGTCTACTAGTTGCAATGTTGAAAATAACTGTGACCGAAATGCTGATTGTGTGAGAATGGGAAATTCTTATCGTTGTAGATGTCGGGATAGCTATGTGGGAAACGGGTACACTTGCACTCCTAGACCATCTCCAGGTTTTATTCCCTTTTAAACCTTTGCTTTTGGAGTCAATTTTAGTTTTATAATTGCTTGTGATTGGGTACTTTACGTATTATTCATATTCGTTAGCATTATCTGTTATATTATATTGCTATAATTGTTTAAATTTTGAGAGGGTTCTACTGTATCAAGGTGTAATAATAACTGATTTTTATTATAATGTAATTGCTTTAAAAGATTTTTTTTCTTGAAAAAGTGACGTGGATTGATAAAAATTTGTACTACAGTCTTACTGTATGGTAGCTGTAATTTATTTGCTTTTTAAGAGAATCTTTCAGTGTCGTCGTGTAGTTTTAGCCAATTCTTATCCGCACTAGGAATACTCATGGATCACAGCCTGATAAATTACTTCCTCACCTTGTTCTATTATCCGCACTAAATAACTAGAGCTTGCATTATACGTTTTTTTAACTTTTGTAACAACCAGCACAAAGAATACGGATTGTTCAGTTCTTTTTTTTTTTAGCGCCAGAACAGCAGTGCGATAGCTTGGGGAACTGTGGCCAATATGCCTACTGCGATTATGACTCTCAAAGTAGGAGATATGTTTGTCGCTGTCGTGATGGGTATGTTGGCGACGGCTACTCTTGTACGCCAATTCTGAGGGCTCCAACTACACCACGAGCAGCAACGCCAGGTATGGTTGTTTTCTGTGTAAAACGTAAATGAGTTCTTTCATTTACTTTTGGAACGAAGGTCTTCTTAACACGGTGAGATGTGATATTTCTGTGAATGCAACTTTCGCTTTGCATTTCTTACCGTTTGCTTTTTTACTTGTCGTAAATACGACATTTTTTTCTTTTGCAGTTATACTGGTGTCACTACTTGAGATTCACTAGACTATGGCCAATGTTGGTAAAAA